GAAAGTACTCGCTAACTCTGAAAATAAATTTTGTGGCATATATCTGATACCATCTGACTCGTTATTTACTATATATATATATATATATATATATATACATATATATATATATATAGGCCTACATTCGGACGTTTCATGAAGTATAGGTATGGTTTAAGCTACAATTAATAGTAATTTGCAAGATAAGAAATATTGAAGTTCCAATCGTCTAAACCATTATTATGCCTATTTGTTGCCATGGTAAAGCTAACAATCGCTGTCAGTTATTTTTGATTTGCAATTACAATCGGCAACCATTTTACAATACAAACAATACATCTCTCATAGCTGGGTCTCATGAGCAACATTTAACAGGATATACAATGGCACAAACAATCTGCTAAATTCTTACTATCAACATTCGGTTTTTCATAGCGCTAACAATCTTTGTACTAAACAGTAACATTCGAGGGTACAAAGAACAAGAAAAAATGTGAGTGAAAACAAACTTAAGATTTTAAAAGATCTCAAAACAAGACAGATGTAAAATAATAAAAACAATCAGTTGGCTTACCTGATACGATTAGAGTGTAATACAATAATATGCTGACTGGAATTAACGCCCAGGAGTTCATTTTCGTTTAAGTTTCTTTTATTTTGATTTGAGTAAAATATACTTCTTTGTTTACTATTTCTTCAGCTAGTTGTCCAGAAAGACAATGCGTTAAATTTGCATTTTTCCAGTTACTTTTAAACAGAGTTAATTAATTCCATACTCGCATATCACAATATCCAGTATTATTGGAGTGTAAGTGGAAAGTCTTGTGATATTACGTACTTGCACCACGTGGTTAATATTGATCAATGTTATCAAGTTCCGAACTGACCAATCAAATCGGGTTTTTTTTCAGCGCGTACAAATACAAATACGCGTGAAAGTATAATCAATAATCACTTTTAAAGTTAAACGACCTGCGTATGCATAATACAGCAACAAAAGTCGACGAGCAAAAATAGAGGCAAAAGTAATTCAAAATTTGTTGCAGATTTACTGCTTATTAATTTTGCTTTCAGCTTTCATAAGAATCCCACACGTCTTTAGCTTGACCTGTGCGTCGCCTTTCTACTCTCGTTGTCCAAGAGGAAAATAAACTATTCTGAGGTCCAACAATTATTCCTGAACTAACGCAACCAACCGATTTAATGACTTTGACGTTTTTTTTTTTTCATCCAGAAACAGCAGGAAGTCTTATCTCTTATTTTCCATTAAACGTTCTTGGTAAAATACATAGGTTCCGTTTCCCCTACGGCATCGGGCTTGAGTGCACTGCAGGCTGGAAAATGGATAGTATTATTATATCAATGTTATAAACGTACTATTGATTGACATAGGAAGGATTATTTTTTATATAAATAATTATTTATATATGCAGGCTTGACATATCATAAAACAAGATTTATATGCTCATAAAAATCCATAATCTTATTTATAATAAACATATGGATATTAAATACGATAGAAATTAACACGTGGTATTACCGTGCAAGGTCATCGGAAAACAGTGAGAAGGGAGACAAGAAGTCTTAAAAGCAAAAATAAACGCTATATTAAACAATAAGGCAAGTGAGTTCATCTGGTTTTATTTAGAAAGTAGGCCTATACCTGCCAAAGGCTGTCTTGTCATGTCAAAGGGGTCACATAATGCAGGTTCGAATCCCACCAGAGACACCTTTTTACAACTGAAATGCTTGATACAACTATACTATCATATGTTCCTATTCCAGCATTGTTATTTTATATGTGTATGTATGTATGTATGAATATATATATATATATATATACATATT